ATTAGATCCGCGTGATAGTGTTCTACTATCCAACAAGAACTGAAATCATGTGAGCTCGGAAGATTGCTCTGGGAAACGTACTTTTACCTACCTCTCCACCCCTCTTTACGGTCTTTCGCTAAGTAAGTAAGTTCGAATATTAAAGTGTTTGAATGCGAATTTCTCAAAGCAGTCCCCTACCACTTTGTATTTGGGCCCCAGTTCATTGAGTTGAAGCCAGGCTTCGAGCCCGTAATCACTCAAATTCGCGGTTGACTTTTTTCTCGATCAAAAGTGCACTTTGGATTAGTAATAAAAAGCATTGACGCGACAAAGTGGGAACGCCCCACAGGTATCGTGGCAGGATCAGTGACTGGTATCCCTTGGGAAAGTTGCCCTTGATGAGTAAACACTAAGGAACGCTTTGAATTGATTGTCTGGTAGATGCTCCGGCTGAAACCTTTCATTCGTTCGGCTCTGGGGGCCCAAATGTGTTCGCTAAAGGGAAGGATGGGATTTCAAAGGGCCTTCTTTCAAAGGTGATGGGTTATTGATGCCTTCCACTCTCTGGGCACCTCCCTTCAGCACTGATGGGGAATTCAGTGAAAGATCGAAAACAAGGTTAAAACAAATAAAAATATTTTATATTACGATGGAAATAAGTGATATAATTTGAAACTAAATATGATGCAAAATAAGCCAGGATAGCTTAAAAGTAACATAAAATCTGGTGATTCATCAAAAAGTTGTGGGTCACTCGGATAAAACACTGTTAAAACACCTGGGAGGCTAAGCCATGTCAGGCTGAATGCCTTTCCAGAGTTTTTTAAAGAATAAATTGGGAAAAAAACGGAAAAGGCGGAAAAAGTTGAAAGCCTTCGGAGGCTATGCAAATGTTTTTCAAACACTCAATCACACAAATGATCCCAAATTGCCGAAAAGTGAATGGCGTAACCTGGAGTGCAGTAAATGGACCAAACACGGCAAGAATAGAACCAAAAGAAAGTAATAATCAAGCGATTTCGGAGATCATCTGATTGATACAGATGGAACGCTCATAACGAAGACTGATGGAAGATTACGACGGGCAGGCAGGCGTGCTGGCGGGCGGTGAAAAGGCGATAAGGACGAATCCGTTGGGATGCATTAGATGATAATGCGACACACACACACTCTCACACACGCGTAGTACACGCAACCCTGGGACCCACTGGGATGGCAGTGATGGTTCGGGCGAAACTGTGGGTCGCACAGGAGGCGTCGAACTTCCAACTGGGCGATCACCTGGCGTTTCTTATTGACTTTCCACTTTGATGGGGCATCTGCCTTCTCAAGGGCAGTCAGAGGGCATCTGCTAAGAGGTTACTTCCACTGGTGGAGTGAGGACTGCTCATTATCTTTCAGTTTCTGGGTGAAGGTTGCCAAAATACTATTTATATGCAAATAGGCTTGCTGAATTCCAGGCAATGGAAGGATACCATGAAAGCTGAAGGCTACCATCTAGGAAAAGAAGTTACGTGCTTCAGTAGAAGGCAGGGAAAAGTCTTTCGGAGAAGTTTTTTTTTTGAAGAAAATGGGCTTCCGTCTTGTTGAAAATCGAAGAACAACTTGGTCGGTGTTGTTCAATTTTGTTCTCGAGCGCGCCACGCATATGAACTCGATAAGAATCGTAGCGATTTTTGGTTGCATCCTATGCTCGAGTGACAAAGGCCGACCGATATAATTTTGATGGTTTTGTTTTTCAAAAATCTTGAAGCAATTGTCACTGCCGGGACACTTTTTTGCGAGGCGAAATTTACTCTCTATTACCTCCCTCCTGTTGTGAGACGCTGTGGGTGGAAGCAAAGCCTCTTGCCGACTCTTCCTCCAAAATCCTAACTTTATTTCGGTTTGCAGCTGAGCATATTGAAGTTTGCATAATTTATTTGATAAAAAATCCAATCAATAGTTTGAAAAAATGAAAACCGCGAATACCATGCTTATGAGCTGGTCAGCCTCTATCCGAAAACCTCGACGATAGTATATTGGCAAGACACAAGTGGAGATATGTCACGAGTTTCTATTCGAATTGAATTTAATCCTCATTTATTCGATGGACTTATTTGATATTTATTTTTTTTCTAACGGTGAGCGTTGGAACAGGTAGGTAGCTGTATGGATGCCCGAGAAGTTAGAGGAACACTGGGACGGCCGACAGCGCGATGGCCAAATTTCAACGAAAGCTTCGGATGGAGGGAATTCTATATTCAGGTCCCTATAGCGAGAACAACCACTATTCTCTGGCTAGCGACAGGAAAGTATGGGGAAGTTACTGGCACCCGCTCGATGAAGCGATAATCAACAGGGCGACAGGTGATTCATTTACTCAATAGTTTTTTTTTCACCGCAGTTAATCCCAACGACACTCAAAAAATATCGGAAAAGCCAAGCAACAGAGGACTCCTTTGAATCGGTGTAGAAATAGAGTGGGCGACGGCAGTTTCCGGCTGCTTTTCCACCGAATTTCTTTCTGATAAGGAGTCGGTTGCACTTTTCTGTGCTATGCCAACACCAAATGAGGGGCTTATCAGTCAGTCAAGGTCAATATTAGTTGGCCACATTGAGTGAAAGATAATCGAAGGGTTATTTTTGAAATTTGAAATGGCTCTGATTTCGATTTCTCAACCAGAAATCGATACGTATTCGATACACTGGTGTGGGAAATCACAAAGAAAAAAGTTGAAAAGTTGAGCGAAAGATTGTCGACAGGTGGTTGGACGGGAAAAATTGCGATGCAACGACGAGCGAGCGGAGCTTGTCATGCACATTACGTTGCGAAAAAATGATGGATGTGAAAGTGCAGTTGGATCGGGCCCACAATGCCATCAGCATCGCCAACGACAGTTGAAAGCCGAAAAAATGCGTGAGATCCGTTGTAACAACAGAGCGAAGGGGCTGTTTGAGTGTGTGTGTATGTGTGAGAGCTGAATCCACGCTGAAAGATTCGGTTGGATAGGGTAGCTATGGGAGAGAAGACAACTGCAGGCTCTGTTGGAAGCTGTTTCTGGTCCCTTCCTATGTAACTTGACGGATCATTTGAAAAGAACTATTGAAATGGAAACTATACTATTATTTTTTCCTGTAGAACAAACCATATGCCCCGGAATGTCATGAAAAAGACGAGAAACCTGCGAAATTCGAGAATTTCCCCTGAAACCAGTAGGGGAAAAGAGAAATAACGAAGTTCGAATTCCTTTCCTCTCTCTGTAAAACTAATTTTTGGAGGTGATTCCAAGTTTATCGAGCAATTTTTGATTTTATCTCTTTTACACTCTTCGTTTTTCTTTTTCCCATCTCCACGGTCTCCTTTCCATCACACTTTCTTCCACAGCTATCTATCACAATTCTTTCGAGCCTCTTTTTAACTGGCTGATTTTTATTTTAACTCTGCTCCTTTTTTTTATTCTGACACCCTTCATAAGGTATGGAGCGGATTGAGGAGTCCTGCATGGGAGGACTAAGAATCGAAGCCGTCCCCCATGACGAGGACTACGAGTCGAACCCGATAGGAGCTGGTCGGAATTGCATATGGGAGGAATAAGGAAGGAGGAGGGATGTCGTGAGCTGGAGGGGCGTGCATATACATATGTTCTATGTAACGAGACCTATCCTCTCCATCAGAAATTGGATGTATGTCACAACTACCGATTTCCAAGAGGGCAGTCGGACGAGCCTGACCAATAGGCCAATTGAACGACTTACCTGATAGTCAATTCCAACATTACAATAATATTTAACAATAATATTTATTAAGGGGAGGGGATGGGAAGAATCACTTGCCGTATTAGGAAATCCTATACAAGAAGGCAGAAAAGGTGAAAAAAAAGTTTCTGAGTTTCTATATTCATTGCCCGTCAGACTGCTTTATTCACACCTTTGAAAAATCGAAATTTCTTGAAAAAAGCCTGTTTCAAAATAATTTGAAATATCAAACGTACTTTTTCCGGTTCGGTACATAGCTTGCATTTTCAACAGATGACTTATTAACTTTCCCCTAACACCTTCCTCTTTCCCTAGCTGTTTTTAACGCCTTTTATTCTATCCTCTTCAAGGATTTCGATATGCTACAGTGCGGCTCCCTGCAGCTGGTTCTGTGCAGACGAATCCTTCGGCAGTGCTGAGTTCGTTTTTGGTTAGGTGTTGGTGAGCCTGGAATGAACTGTCTTCGAGGCAGGCTTATAATTGTCTTCGAATCGCCGTTTGCTTTGAGTTCTCCTAAATGTCTCACTTCAGAGAGATTCCTCCTTGTTCCTAGAGGAGCACCTTCCGGATTTTCAAAACGGTCGTCCTTAACTTTGTGCTACCTTATTTTCTTTGTTTCCCTCCAGCCGATCTGTTTCCAGTGGCTCCGCCACGGAGTGCCCTTGTTTTTCTTGAGTTTTCGACAGCATCGTCCTATTACATTGTCTGTAAATTTGGGAATTTACCGTAAAATCGCCATTTAAGGGCGTAGGTGGTGTGGTGGCAAGTGTCGCCCTATCTGATTCACATGGTCGAGGGTTCGATTCCCGAATCGATGTCTGCCTAGGCCAACCAAGCCCTCCATACCTCCGAGGTCGATTAATTGGTACAAGACTCGTCTAGCGTCTGGATCACTCACTTGAACCTCGGGTGGCCACCACAAGTCATTGTATTGGTCACATACGCTTTCTTAATGGAAGTCGAATGCGAGGCGCATCCAACACACGCGATTGCTCATCGTCAAAATTTCTACCTTTGTCTTTCATGTGGTTTCTCTATGAGTGTCCGTTTTCTTCAAAGCAATTCAGCTTACTTACCGGGCCGTCCCTAGCTTTACCAGTATTTTTATACCATTACTTGTTGCTCTGCGGCGTTCACGATGCTATGACTATTACAGTAGGCTTCGAGAAAAAAATTGAAATGAAAGCATGGTAAGTTTTTAGAAAAAAGCTTTTTCCTTCGTCTTCCTTTAGATATCTAGCTGTTGGTCGTTGCTTGGCAAAACCGTTTTTACTTCCACGATGTCCACGACAACACGTTGCCTGGAAGCTACTAAAACGATGATGGCAAAGGCATTGAGTCTTGGCGATGGACTGCAACCGCCATTCCTCTGTGGTGCTGCTTTTCCTTGTTTTCCAATGTCTTTGTTGGAGCGTCGTCTTCAGTTTTCCCACATCGGGGTCAAACTGGGGAAACTCTACCAAAAACAATTCCAATTCTCTCTCACCGTGGGAAGACATGTTGGGGAACCGGTTTTCCAATCCTCTCACAACGTGGAGAGACGCTCTGAGTGGCATGAACAGTAAGTCCACACGAAACTCTACTAAATACAATTGCTCCATCTGTCCGGCGCCAACTACAACAACCACTATACCGTCTACCACCAAAGCTGAATTCAGTTCGAAGTATGTCTCATTTGTAAGCAAATCTTCCACGAAAACTCCATCTGCTTCAAAGAAAACGACTTCGAAGACTCCTTCGAGAAAAGTCACTCCATCAAATGTGACGTCGCATCCTGCCCAAGCTCATTCTAGCGATCCTGTCCATCAAGAGGAAAGTAGACCTCCAACAAAGGTGAGGTGCTCTCTTTCATATTCGTCGTTTAGTTACTAATAGCATAGGACAGTAAGTAAGAAATCAAGAGGTCAAGGCGTCATTTTGTACGTTGCGGAAAGATTTACTGGTATTTTTCTCAATGATACATGGCCGCTTTCACAGTCCGCGAGAGAGCGAGCGCGCGAGCTGGCCGGGGACTACTCGTCCGGCGGTATCGGCCAAGACCCAGTTGTAAACAAGGGGCAAGCGCCGCCCCTCGTCGCTCGAACGCGGGCCAAATTGCGGACTACGGAACCAGCCAATTTCTGAACATACTTTTTTACCATTTTCCGCTAATACCTCTTTATTTTACTTTTTGCTGAGATTTTACTTAATTATTGCGCACGTTCAACTTTACTTAGTCGTTTTACAGGGACAGGTTGCTGTCGTCACAGCAGCGCCTACAAAACATCAAGGAGTACGACCATCAGACCATTCAACTGCGGGCGCAAAACACTCAAAAGACCCCATCACCCCCAAACAAGACGCTCATTCAGAAGCAAAGCCTACGGTTGATATAACTCACCATGACAGCAACACCCAACGACATTCGGAAGCAAATGCGGCGGAGGCTCATACGGATGGCTCCAAGAAAACCAATGAAAACGATCAAAAGCGCATCACAGAGGCGGCGAAGCATCAGCACAGCTCAGAAGGGGCCAAGAGTAATGACCATAATACAACGAAGCGCGATGATGACAACCATCCATCAGCGAACCATGGGTCGACCAAGCATGGAGAGCATACTGAGAAGCCCAGAGACCCCAGGACCCCTGATGACGCCAGGGAAACTCACAAAGATGATCATTCAATCAGGCACACCACCAAAAAAAGCAAGCCCTCAGAAGAATCCAAGAAATTCCCCGAAGACCATTCAACAGCGAAGCCTGCGCGTGAGCCGACTAAGCGGACAGACACCTCTGAAGAGCATAAGAATGACGGTCATCCAACATCAAGAGATTCCTTGAAGCACACCAAGAAAAGCGATAGCTCTGAAATACCTAAACATAGCAATAACTCTGCATCGAAGAGTCCCACCGAGTCCTTGAAGCAGACAGATAGTCCGGAAGGATCAAAAAATGATCATCCAGCAACAAAGAATCCAGTGGAGCCCACCAAGCATAGCAATAGCTCCGATGGATCCAAGCATGACGATGACCCTGCGACAAAGGACCCAAGTAATTCTGTCAAGCAGACAGCCCATTCAAAAGGACCTGGGAATGACCACCCAGAAACAAAAAGTCCAGGGGAGCCCACCAAACAGAAGGATAGCTCGGATAAATCAGAAAAGGACGACCACTCTGCCTCAAGGGACCCTAGTGACACTGTCAAACAAACAGCTGGCTCGAGAGAATCTAAAAGTGACCACTTGGCAACAAAGGGTTCTCTTGAGCATACCAAACGAAGCAATACCTCTGAAAGGTCCCAACATGACGATCACTCTGCAACAGAACCCGTGAAGTCGCACCGCTCTGAGGGACCTAAGAATGACAATCGTCCGACAACAAAGCATTCCATGGAGCAAACCAAAAAGAGCGATAGCTCTGAAAAATCTAAAGATGACAAACACTCTCCAACGAAGGACCCTACTGACTCTATCAAGCAGACGGATAGCTCTAGAGAATCTAAGAATGATCAGTCGGCAACAAAAGGACATATTGAGCAAACCAAACGGGGCGATAGCTCTGAAAGACCCGGACATGACAATCTTTTTGTAACAAAAGACCCTAAAAATTCTATTAAGCAGACAGACGGCTCTCACGTTAGCAAGAATGGCGATCATTCTGACGACTCTGCAGCAAACAAATCCGTCGACCCTACGAAGCCACGCGATAGCTCTGGAAAATCGGGAGATGGTGATCACCCTACAACAAAGGATCCTGTTAGGCATACCAAGCAAAGCGATAGCTCTGGAAAGTCAAACCATAGCGATGACTCTGCAAAAAAAGATCCCAGTGAGTCTCCCAAGGGAACAGATAGCTCTAGAGGACCTAGGAGAGATCGTTCGGTGACTGAAGTTCCTGCGGATCACACCAAAAAGGGCGATAGTTCTGGAAATCCCAAGGACGGTGACCACTTGGCAACAGGGCATCCAACTGATTCTGGGAAACAGAAAGGGTCCTCAAATGAGCCCAAAAATGGTGATAATCCGACAGTAAAGGATTCCGTGGAGCCTACAAAGCAGAGCGATAGCTCTAACTCTGGAAAATCCAATGACAACTCCGCAACTGAAGATCCTTCTGAGTCTATGAAACGGACCGGCCATTCTGAAGGGCCTGATAATGACGAGCACTCAGCGACAGAAGGTTTCACTGACCACGACAAACAAGGAGATAGCTCAGGAAAAGCAAAACATGACGACAGCTCCATAACGAAGGACCCTTCTAAGTCTCCCGAACAAAAGCGTGCCTCCAAAGAAGATAAGAATGGTAATTCAGTAACAAAGGAGCCCGTCGAACATACCAAGAAAAGCGATAGCTCTGAAGGATCCAAAAATGGCGTTAGCTCTGCAACGAAGGACCCTTCCGACTCCAAAGGGCAGACACACCGTCCTGAAGGTCCTAAGAATGATGATCGTTCGGTCACAAAGGGATCCGTTGAGCATACCAATGATAGCGATAGCTCTGAAAACACCAAACATAAGGACGATTCGGCAACTGAGGACCCAACCGACTCCATAAAGCAGACAGACCGTTCTGAAGGGCCTAATCAAGTCACGGAGGATTCTGTTGAGCCTACTAAGCAAAGCTATAGTTCTGATGGACACTCCGGCAATCACTCGGCAACGGAGGATTCCGTCGCGCATACTAAGCAGAGCGATAGTTCTGAAAGATCAAAACATGTCGACGACTCTGCAACAGAGAACCCCACTGACTTTCCCAAGCAGTCACATCCCTCTCAAGGGCCTAAAGTGGGCAATCATTCGGCAACAACGGGTTCACCTGAGCACACCAAGAAGAGCTTCGACTCGGAAAGGTCTACACAGGACGAGCGCTCTGCAACAAGGAATCCTACTGATTCTGGTAAGCAAACAGGTCGCTCCAAAGAAAGCAAAGATGATCACACAACACCGGAGCATTCCGCTGAACCCACAAAACAGAAAGATAGCTCTGGAAGTCCCAAGGATGTTGACCACTCTGGAGCAAGGTCCACTGACCCCATCAAACAAGAAAACAGCTCAAGAAGGCCTAGCGGAGATGACCATTCGGCAACAGCGGGTCCAGCTAAGCACACTAAGCAAAGTGATAGCTCTGGAGTATCCAAAGACGGTAACCACTCTGTAACAAAGAGCCCTACTGAGCTCTCCAAGCAAACAGGTGGCTCTGCAGGGTATAAAAATGGCCAGTCAACAAGGAGTCCTGTTGAGCACACAAAGCAAAGTGATAGCTCTGGAATATCAGAACATGGCGGTCACTCTGTAGCGAGGGCATCTACTGAGGGCGTCAAGCAGACTCAAAGCTCTGGAGGTGTTGGAAAAGACGATCGCTCGTCGACGAAGAGTTCTGTTGACCACACCAAGGAGAGCGATAGCTCTGGAAAATCTAAACATGGCGATTCTACAACAAAAAACACGACTGACTCGATCAGACAGACAGGCCTATCCAAAGGGCCTGAAAATGGCAACCATCCAACAACGAGGAGCTCGCTCGAAAACACCAAGTCTGGAAATAGCCTTGAAGGAACTGAAGCTGTCAAGCACTCAACAGAAAGGGACACTGCTCAGTCCGACAAGCACGTAAACGATTCTAGAGGAAGCACTGTTGCTGGTCATTCACCAGCAGAGCACGGCACCAAAGCCACTGCCCATTCAGGTGGTGCAGAAGACGAGCATAACGACAGCTCCACAGCAAAGTACAACCAAACCAAAAGTACTCCGCGCATTGACAATTTCGATAAGTGCATGTTTACTAACTATACGGTAAAGTCTACCACCGAAGTGAGAGAACAGTCGGAGAGCTCGGAAAGACGTACGAGTCGGGATCAATCAAGAACGACGACTTCTACTTCATCGAAGAACGGAGGCAATTCTGTAAGGCCTGGAGGCCGTTCAAAGGCGACTACAGAGAAGACCATGCTATCTGACAGCTCTAAAAAAGTTACCAATGGCAACCACTCAGGGAGAAACACTACCGAAGCGACTAAACGTTCAAACCACTCTGAAGGGTCTCTGAGTAATAAAGTGACAACGGCAAAGAGCCTCAAGGAGGATACCAAACGTACCGATCCTGGAACTGTTATTAATGGTCATTCTACAGCGAAGAATACCACTCAGGCAACTAGACCCTCAGACGGGAAATCCACGGGTGTAGATGGCTCGGGAGAACTCAGTAATCACTCAATGACGACTACTAAAGGAACTGAGTCAGGAGATGGTTCCAAAGTTCGGGCTAGCGACGACCATTCGCCGACGAAGGGCGCTAAACAGGCCACCAGGCCTATAGGCCGCTCTGAAGGGCCTTCCACTAGGGACTGGTCAAAGACAAATAGCACCAGAAAGGACAGCAGGGATACCGGTAGTCGTAAGACTACGATAGACAGGAATTCTACAGCAGAGAGCGCTACTGAAGCAGTTCAACCTTCAAAAGGTACGGGGACACCCAGGAAATCTGGTGATTCTGCAATGAGCACTACTGAGGAGACTAAGCTGGCTGGCGATCATTCAAATGCAAAGGATCCTACAAAGGCTACCACGAGTATGGACCACTCTGAAGGGTCTCCAGTGAGTGACCGGTCACCGGCAAAGAATACTAGCCAGGATAGCAAGTATGCCAATGGTCCTGGGACTTTGATAGGTAGGATCTCTACAGAGAGACTTGCTACTAAGCTCCCCGAACACAATACAGAATCTTATGACTATAATTATAACTATAATTATACGTACCCTGAAATTTCCTCAGCGAGGAAGACCACGGAGTCAGCTGAGCACTCGGAAGGTTCCGAGAAACCCTCTGGAGGCAGAGAATCGCCCACGAAGAACACTACAGAGGCGGCTAACCATACTAACATCACCTTCAAGCCTGAGAATGGCAATAGTTCATCAACGAAGAGGGCCGCAGAGGCTACTGGTGGTGCTCTACCTTCTAAAGGGTTCGCTACAACCAGGCGTACAAACACTTCCATCGAACCCGGCAATACGCAGTCAGAGTACGCGACTGAGGTGTCTGTCCATACAGATGGTTCTGAGGACTCTGGAAATGGCATTCATCCAACAGTTAGTCAAGCGGCTGAGGGACATAGCCATGGAGGTGGGTCCGAAAGACCCAGTATCGGTAGTTTCACAGTTTCAAACGGTGCTATCGGTGCAGTTGATCATCAGCATTCATCTAATGAGCCTCACATTGAAGGCTTAATGAGAAAGACCACCGAAAAGCAAGAAGTTCGAAATGAAAGACGCGGCGACGAGGAGCACTCGACAGCAAGCATCACTGCCGTAACAGGTGAGCAAGAAGACATCTGTAGAGCAGAAATAGAGGTTAGTAAGCACGGCAAATTGTTATTATTACAGACAAGCAGCAGACATCCTCTGAAAAACCTCCTCATGGAAACCATTCAGCGACCAAAAGCGGCGCTAGGCAAGGTGAGCCAGCTTTGGCTTTCACATGAGATCCACAGGAAAACTTTCTTCTAACAAGTACTGTTTCCTTTTCATAAAGCTTTGACAGTACCTCGTTGTGTCATAGGTGAATAACAGGCTTAGAATAGAAGAGCTTCGAGTTCTTTCTCTCGAATTTCGTTTAAGGGAACCACGGTGGAAGCGCGAATACCGCATCGTTCAACCAAAGCTTGGGGAACTAGATGAATAATCAAAAGCACACTTCGCAACCATATGGGTCCCGTGGATAGGGGGACGGAACTTACGTGCGTCCGAGGATGCGCGCGGCAAATTGCGCGGCGAAGTGCGTGGGGATTTGAAGGACCCTGGCGCCTATCATTGGGGCCCAAATTTGAAGTAGAGTAGATTAGTAGTATCGGCTGACCCTACTCAACTACTCTACTTCAAGTTTGGGCCCCAATGGTAGGCCCTAGAGTCGTTCGAAACAC